TTCGTACCTCACCACAACCCAAGCGCACCGGCTTACGCGCCACTCGAGAAGGTGTACAGCGACATGAAGGTGTACAGCGACATCCTGTACAACCGTGAGCCTGGACAAAACGCGTACAATTACACCATCACCTTCATCGACGCAGCCACTCGATACGTCTGGCACCTAAATCTTCCAAGCCGCGACATGGCCTCCGAAGCCTTCGTCGCCTGGCTTCCAGTAGCAGAACGAGAATCCGGAGAAAAACTCAAGAGCTTCCAGTCGGACTGAGGGGGAGAATACACCTCACAGAGGTTCAAGGAGTACTTGACAGAGAGAGGAATCAAGCGACTCATCTCTCTCCCCTACGCCCATCAACAGCAGGGTGTAGCAGAAAGGATGAACAGGACCCTCCAGAACACCATGCGCAAGCTGCTATGTGGCATGCACCTGCCCAACCACCAGTGGCCCGAAGCAATGGACCACGCCGTCATGCTGCACAACCTGCTCTCGTCATCATCGCTCCCGAACAACGCATCACCGCATCTGCTGTGGACAGGAAAACTGGGTAGCACAAAAATGTTAAGAGTCTTCGGCTGCATGGTACAGTACCGGCCCCCATCTGCACGAGCTGGCCGATTCTCCCAACGCGCACAGTGGGGACTACATCTGGGCATCGAAAAACATTACAACGCATGGAAGATTTTCGACGTCGAGACAAAGGAAACAGTAGCAGCACGTGATGTCATCTTCTACGAAAACCTCACCCTCCGATACTACCTCGCCAATTTGCAAGAAGGAAACCCCGACCGCTCCGATGGTTTTCTTGGCACCCGAGCCTTCGCTTCGGCAGAAGATGAAGCGGACTGGGACGAGCAGAACGTGGAAGGAGCCTCGGAAGAAGCCGGACCTCTCCCCTACTGCTCCGTCGACGTCCCAATGGATGACGAAAATCCTCGCGAAAGCATCAACGCCGAAACCTATGACCACTTCGCTGACAACGGTTACGTTACACCTGCACAAGTCAACACCGATGAAGCAGAACGCGTAGGACCCAATTTCAATCCTACACCAGAAGAGGGAGACGAAGCAGCTTATCCCGAGGACACATCACTTCCCCGCTACACACAGAGTGGACTCCAGATACTCGGCCTCGTCACCGCAGTCCACGGGAAAGCCATTCCTAAGGAGCATGCGACAGTTCAGCAGGCTCTGGGGGGGGAGCATAAGGAAAAATGGCGCGAAGCCATGGACAAGGAGCTGAAAGCACTGGAGGAATGCAACACTTGGAAGGTCGTTCCTATCGGCATAGCACGGAACAAGACTATTCTCACCGGAAAGTGGGTCTTCCGCGTGAAGACAAAGGCTGACGGCACCATCGACAAGTTCAAAGCACGCTGGGTCGTACGCGGCTTCGACCAGGAACACGGACGCGATTTCACCGAGACATTCGCTCCAGTCAGCCGACACACCTCGCTGCGAATTCTTCTTGCGATCGCCGCCATGAAGAAAAAGAAGCTGCGGCAAATTGACGTCGCCAACACCTTCCTCTACGCACCCGTCGATGCAGAAATCTTCGTCGAGCTACCGCACGGCTCCAACGGAGAGCCTAATCAAGTCTGTCAGCTGCTGAAGTCACTCTATGGTATCAAACAAGCTCCAAGGCTGTGGCAGCAGTACCTACACGCAAGACTCACTCGCATCGGATTCCGCCAGCTACCTCACGACCAAGGCATGTACCGGCTCACAAAGGGAACCGACTACATCCTGCTAATCGTCTACGTAGACGATCTGCTCTACATCGGCTCAACCGACAGCGTCACTACTTGGTTCGAAGGGGAGTTACAAAGGGATCTCACACTCACGGTCTCGTCCACCGTCACACAGTACCTCGGCCTCAACATCCAGGAAGAAGAAAATGCGATCTACCTCAGCGCCGCGAAATACGCCGATACCATCGCCAAGCGCTTCGCACTCACGCCGACCGTCATCTCCACGCCATACCGCTACACGGCAGGAAACACAAGGAAGGCTCCGCTCTACTCAAGCCCGCCGGCATACGCGACTACCAGAGGAAGCTGGGATGCCTCCTCTTCGCAGCTGTCACCTGCCGCCCGGACCTATCGTACTCTGCAAGCCAGCTCGCCACCTACCTCAAGAAACCTGAAGCGGAACATCTGGCGGAGCTCAACCGCGCTCTTCACTACCTCGTCAGCACCCCGACAATCGGCCTGACCTACCATAAGAACACAACTATAACGCCTAAGCTAATCGGGTACGTCGACGCCGATCACGCCGGCAACTCCGACAACAGGCGCTCCCGCACTGGCTACATCTACCGCTTCGAGCCTATCTGTCCCATCTCCTGGCAGTCGAGCAAACAGGAATATATCGCACTCTGTTCAGCCACCAGGGAAGGACTGTACCTTCGCGAACTCCTGGAGGAAGCCAAGCTAGCCCAGTTACCAAACTTCACCCTGTTTTGCGACAACCAGTTGGCAATTCGCATCGCCAACAAGAACGGCTTCGCGAACAGGACGAAACACATCGCCCTGCGATACTTCTTCGTGAAGGACGAGATCGAGAAGGGGAGACTCGAACTGTCATACTGCCCCACGTCGGAGATGGCAGCTGACTACTTGACCAAGAAGCTCGGAAAGCAGAAGTTCGAGTACTGCATGTTGCTGACTGGACAGAGCCACGTCACCAGCAGCGACACTCCAGAAGCGAAGGGGAGTGTTGGAAACAATTAACTCTAAGCGCCTCTGTCATGTCGAAACACCAAGTCAGAAGCGAAGCAAAGCATATCGAAGCACCAGCGAGTCAACCCTCGGAGGTTGAAGTAACTGTCGGAGGTTACGCGAAAGTCAAAGGTCAGCGACCTTTGACCTGACAAGTACAGCGCGACAGCAAGGACACACAACTGACTCGTTACAGAGCAGTTGCCCGAGTCGTCACTGTATCGAACCGCAACAGCAACAGTAAAGTAGTTATAACTGTGTCTTTTTATATTCCCTGTATTCATATATAATCTTGTATCTCTTTGCTTTAATCAATCAACTTTGCCCTCACATACTAGTGCAAGGTGGTTCACAACTCTTCATTAAACGCTTCCACTACTACATCAGTTCTACCCAGAATTCAACCCTGCAAAGATCCTAAGGGCTATTTCTCAGCCCAACATTTGGATGAGGTGTTGAAACTCGGGAGAAACAGAGATGCTTTTGGGACATCCAACCAACACTAGGAAGGATGAACCAAGTTCGGCCTTCTTGACCCACGCGTTTTAAATAACTATTTTTTCTGCCAATCCAATCTGTCCCATGCAGGGCTTTTTTTTTTTTTTTTTTCACTACTCGGATTTCCAGAGCTGTTTTCTAGAGAACTCTGAAATTCAGGGTTCATTATGAGCGTTACTCTGATTTGTCAGAGAAAACTTAACTTCTAAAGAATATACTCTGGGCACCCAGTGTACCTATTTTTCCAACTCTGAGTGTCCTCTCAAGTATTGAGCCCAGGCCTTCTGCACTCCTTCCAAATAAAGTAAGCGTTGTGCTACGCGCTCACCATTCTCCTGGCTTACGGAGTTCTATAACTCCACCTAGTCTGCCCATCTTCCAACAATTGGGGGGGGGGAGGGGGGGGGCGGGGGGGGGTCGGTCGAAATGCCTATACCCTGTACAGAGAAAAGTACATGCGCCACAAATATACACTGTGCTAGAAAGGCATAGTGCCAGCGTAGCGGAAGCCTTGATTGTGAAATAGAATAGCAAGAGAACCTTGCAACTGAATGGATTCAGAACAATGGATTGGATTGATAATGAAAGCACACAGCAGGGTATTTATCCATGCAGCTACCCTGCCAAAGTCTAGCCACTCCCACCAATAATTGTACCTCCAATAATGGCAGCTCCAATAAAGGAGTACCAATAATTCTACCCCCAAGGAGACCAATAATGCAGCCCCTACAATAATTGTATAATTATTGTAGAGCCTAGAGGCTTATATAGAGGATTACACTAAAACCTGACAGCATAGAACTTTTCTATTGCTTTATATTTCCAACACTCCCCCTTGCTGTTGGTTTTAGTGATTTAATTTTTGTGGAGGATGGGGATAAGGTGGTTTACCACAAACAAACTTACCCTTAGCTTCCGTTGATTGCGGAAGTGTTTTCCCGTCCGTGTCGGAGCAGACCACGTTAGGGTTTCACATTGACGCGTCCTAGGAGTCGGTTCCGTTGTCGCGTAGCAGGTCTGTTTCAGGTGCGCTACCTCTATTGCGATACTGTTCCTCCCATCTCGCCCATCCTCTCGTCCCCAACTCTCGTCCTTTCCAACCCCACTGCAGTTTCACGCTTCTCTCACATCGAGTTGCGCTGCTCCTGCTTCCCGTTCTTCCTACTCAGATCTGGTTCACCCAAGAACCTTCAATCTCGATAGTCAGCCGTTTTGCAACCCCACCTGCCTATCGCGTTCACCCACGGCTTTCCCGTCGTGACACTTCGGCAGCACCTCCTAGACCTAGTTTTAGTCAATAGTTGTTGTTGCTCTTTTGGCCGTAGGCTGACCATGGCGAAATTAGCTCTCAGAAAAGTCGAAATGCTTCGAATAGGCGAGCCGCAGCTGGCTCTCGCTCCAACAGCTGACGCACGACTTAGCAAGTGTTGGTGTGCGACTTCTTCATGGCGCTCTGCTGCTCCTGCTCCTGCTGGTCGCACGACTCGCTGCTGGTCTTGATCATTCAGCACTTCGCGCCCGTCCTAAGCGGCATGATGCGCGACTGCTGCTGCATGCGCACATCTCCAGCAGCAAGCTCATGGCTGCATCAGCGCCCGTGACGACCGGCTGCAGTGGCTGGCGTACGGCTGCAGCAGCATGCGCGCTCCCCCTGTCTCTGTGGACGACCTGGCGCACGGCAACAGGAGTACCTGCGATGACCTACGCGCCTGTAGTGCCTTTGCGCGCAACTGCATTTCATGCCGTGCAACTTCAGCTTGGCGCGAAATCACTGCTGCTGGCATGGATGTCCAGCACCTTAGCGCAACTGCTGCTGCTGACGTGTATCTGCAGCGTCTGCACAGTGACACGTGGCGCTTGGCGAGTGGTAGTATGGCAGCAGCGGCGTGCCTTCTCCGTCGTGACTAGGTGAGTAACCCTTCACCGTGTACATTTCTCCTTGCACTGATTCACCAGCTTCTCCTAATCACAATCTTCCTCTCCCTTGTATTTCTTGTCACCACCTGCAGGTGGCGTAATGCAGCAACCGATGGCGGCGCACAGTAGCAGCAGCTCGTGAGCAGCACCATCGTGTCCTGTCGGGCGGTGGCAGCACCAGCGGCGCTTGACGAGCGGCGGCCACGTCAGCAGCTTGTGGAGGGCAGCTTCTTGTGCTGACCAGCAGCTTCAACTTCAACAGCGTGCAGCAAGTGTCGCACATCAGTAGCATTACCCGGCGCTCGGCAGCAGCATCAGAGGACTGCAATAGCGACACACTCGCGGAAGTAGCGGCAGGTGAGCAGCAGGCGACTAGCAGCATCAGGCTGCTTACCCATTCTTCTGCCGAGGTGAGGTGTTCCTTACAGGTCAGATCCGTTTGAGCGAGTGTTGTGCTCTCCTCTCTGCCGCACCCAAGTCCCGTTCTCTCAGTCCTTGTTACCTTGTGCTGCCCCCCTCCTGCACCAGGTGGCACACGGAAGCAGCTGAACATGGCGGCAGCAGCTTCACCCGCCCGCCTGCAGCTCCACCTGCTGGCCTGCAGCAGCAGCTACGCGGCTCACGAGGTGGTGGCGGACAGCAGCCGCGGCTGGTGGTGCTGGAGCTGCAACAGCAGTGCCTGACGACCGGCAGCAGCACCAACAGCACCTGGCGGCCTGCAGCTCCCCGTGACGCCCTGCAGTTCCCCCTGACGGATGGTAGCTGCAGCTGGTGACGCCCAGCAGCCGACCGCATCTCCTGGCGACAGCATGGCAGCAGCAGCAGCACCTTGCTCTCTGCAGCTGCACTTTTTCAGCTCCATCTGCCTTGTGAGTAAAAACCCTTCATACATTCTGCCATCACTGGGGTAGCTTGTTTGCTTTCTTCTCGTTCTGCCCGCCGTTCACTCTCATCCTGGATGAAGCTTGTTCTGACTTCATCTTGTCTTGTGATACTCTCTGAATTCATCAGGTGCAGAGAAGCACCAGCGGCCGGCATAAGGGAGCAGCTGCTGCTGGCGGACAGCAGCAGCCGGCGGCCTGCACCAACAGCAGCGGCTGCCCATGGTAACAGCTGAAGCCCGAGGACTGCATCTCCTACAGCTCCAGCCCTTGTGCACCGATAGCACTGGCAAGCAACGGCTTGCCTTTGCCTTAAACAAAGTGAGTATTCCTTCAGCAGCAGCATGACTTCTCATCTCACTCCGATTGTGCAATCTTCTGCTCACTCTGCTTCATGGTGATGCTATTTTCAGCCATGATGTCACTCATGTTGTTGTATTGCACTCCCCCTTAAACCAGCAGGTGTACGGAACCAGTGTCAGCTGGCGAACAACAGCAGCTGGCGCACGATTGCAGCAACTGTTGGCGAGTGGCGTAAGCGATCAGCAGCAGTGTCTGACCACCAGAGAGCTGTCCCCGCTCCTGTCTTCGAAGATGCTCACAAATCCTGCTCCATGCCACACCCCACACTCCCCCTCACCCATGTGTTTACAGTCATGCGCAAGCATGCACACAGTTGCAAACACATGAGTGATGTGTGGAGTTACGTGACGCCATGTGGTGCAGCACACCTCGAGAAGCCCGCACATGTGAGTGTTGCACCAGTACTATTGACTTGCTGACCATTCGCAGAAGCTGCTACATGGGGAATCGGTTGGAGGCCGCACATGCCGCTGCAGGTGATGTCATGTCCGTCTTTGGCGAATGGGCTGATCCGTGGCCAGGTCTTTTGTTTCATTGTATGGCAAGTCAGCCATGCGCACGCCCGTAGTTGCATATCCCACCTTACTTCCAGCATCATCTTCATCCTCAGCTGGTACAAGGACATTTGCTGCAGGCAAGTCATTCGCTGCAGCACCTTCCTTTCCCTTGGTTGCATTGTCTTCATCAGCTCCATTTGAGTCTTGTTCCGTGGAGTCCCCTTTCCCCACCGTGGCCCGTTGTCCTTCTCCCCCTGAAGTCCACACCGCAACGTGGGGTGAGACTTCATTCGCGTGTTGCTGGTGCCCAAGCAAAGGCCCAGCATCCAGCGGCATGCCATCAAAGGTGCGTGGTGAGCGAGTGTCTTTGTTAAAATCACGTGTCGTGCCCCTCACGACACAAGCCATGTGCGCGATACGGTAGGTGACGGATGCATGAGCAGATTGACCATTCAATCTTCCATCACCATGTGCATCCGATGACGCATCCTCACGAGTATGTCCACATCCATGGTCAAAGGCAAGTACTGGCTCATATTCCACCATGAGCACTCCGTGCACATCCTTGCCAAGTCCAATTCGTACACCCCCATCTCCATCAGGCATGGAGATTTCGGTGTCTCCACCATCGTTGGTGCGAATCCGAGCTCCCTTTTGCAGCAGCTGACAGTAAGAGAGGAGATTAGACTTCAAACCAGGTACGTAGAGCACGTCGGTATAGCGTACCGTTGTCCCATCGGTTGCATGTACTCTGATTGTGCCCACCATTGAGCTGTTCAGAGTGCTCCCATCAGCAAGCTCCACGTGCACAGGTTTGTCCAACTCCTTCAAATCCTCGAACCATCTTTTGTCTGAAGTCATATGCTGGCTACATCCGCTGTCCAGCAACCACAGAGGACCTCCAGCGCTTGATGAGGTCGTTTGTGACGATCGAACCGTTGCAATACATGTAATCGTCCGTTTGTTGTCTACCCCGGCTGCCCCTTGCTGCTTTATACCATTGTTGTCACGTTTGGGGCTGCCACCATTTCGAGGAGAGATCGAACGGCTGTTGCTGGTACGTCGGTTGGTCCTCCTTCTGTTTTGTTGTTCCCACCCCGGTGGTGACCATCCTGGTGGTGCCGTGTGACACTTGTACAACGGGTGGCCCAGTTGCCTGCAAAACCAGCACATGAGAGATGAGCGTCCGCCCTTTCCATCATTGCCATTCATTTTCTCTCCCTTAGTCGCTTGCTGCCCTCCGCTTGAAGTTGCAGCATTCTTGGTCTCGGTACTCTCTTTTGTATGCGAGCCTTTGCGCCCTTGATCAGCCATGCGTTGCGTTTCATCGTCTTGACCGTAGGAGTGATGTTCCACCATATCCACGCGATCACGTCGCAAAACACCATTTGACTGCATCCCATGTCCCGTGTGCTCCACGCTCCATACAGGATCCACTCCCATTAGTGGACGAGGCGCACGAGGAGGTATGTTGCTGACTTCAAGAAGGTGAGATCTGTCCATTACGGGGGCTCCAATGGAATAAGAGTTAGTGGCAAAACGTTGAAGTGGGGGAGCACCAATAGTGTAAGATTCCAATCTCACACTTTCCACGCCCACTTTATTAAATCTGCCACTCTCTTCACCAATTTGCATGTTTAACTTCGCTCTCAATGATGCTTGAAGTGTTGGCGGCGCCCTTGCAATCATGTTCTCCAGGTGCTCATGTTGAGCCAAGATTGCTTCTTCAACCGCCTCGAATCCAGTGTCGACTTCATTGTCGAACCGCGCCATTTCCTTGATCCAATCGTTGCCTCTTGCTATGACAATATGCTATTGTGCCTGCCCAATATGGATTGTAACAGGTTTCTGTCCAAATTCTGGCAGCATGCCCCCGAGTTGCTCTGATACCATGCTAGAAAGGCATAGTGCCAGCGTAGCGGAAGCCTTGATTGTGAAATAGAATAGCAAGAGAACCTTGCAACTGAATGGATTCAGAACAATGGATTGGATTGATAATGAAAGCACACTGCAGGGTATTTATCCATGCAGCTACCCTGTCAAAGTCTAGCCATCCCCACCAATAATTGTACCTCCAATAATGGCAGCTCCAATAAAGGAGTACCAATAATTCTACCCCCAAGGAGACCAATAATGCAGCCCCTACAATAATTGTATAACAATTGTAGAGCCTAGAGGCTTATATAGAGGATTACACTAAAACCTGACAACATAGAACTTTTCTGTTGCTTTATATTTCCAACACACTGGTCTCTCAGAGTAGCTAAAATCAGAACCCTGACAAATCAGAGAAAACTTATCCTCCAAAAAAATTACCTAGACACGTCAGAGTGACCCCCTAAAAACCACTCTGATTTTCAGAGAAACAGAGTAATTTACTCTGATAAAAAAACCCCTGGTCCCATGCCGAACCGACCACGTGGTAGGCCCCATTGCTCTGACAAACCGCTCTTTCACATCCGAAATGGTTTTCCCATCGGAGTTTGACTCAGCATAACTCCCTCCCGTAGGAGCGAATGATTCTTGGATTGCCACAATTGTGGCATTTGAGTTAATGCAGTTGTTGAGTTGCTGGGTGAAAGGGAGTGGGGAGAAGGTCACAACATGACACGAGACATGAGGTGAGGCATATGCGAGTCGATGTGGCAGACTAGCTGGGTGGGGTGGGGGGAGTTAAGTCAAGAAAATAAGGGTAAAAAAAGGGGAACGAAAACTTGGAAAGGAAGACTGATGCTGCCCAACAGTGCTCGCTCACACTCACAAGTTCAGTACACGAAATCTGTCTCAGTAGTGGACGCACGCATCACAACAACAGATGCAACACATCATGTAGCCAACATTGCTGCTCAACAGTGCCCCTTGATCCTGCCACGCCACCCATCAAACCCCATTCACATTCACCTGAAGGCCCTCCCTGCTGCGACAATTTTGATCAGAGCCACGACCTCGTTGATGCTTGTGGGGAGGTAGAAAGACACTGGCTCTCAATTTTAAACAGGTCCAGCATGTCTGGAGGCGCCTCAACAGTCGTCTGTCTACCTGCAAATTTTGAGGCACCTCAGAACCACATAGAGCTGATTCTGAGGACATTTTCCCCCGACGTGCAGATGATGATCGTCCAGCACGCATGCACAGTGATCAGTCCCACTGGCACGTGTGAGGGGCGTGTGTGGGAGCAGCTCCGCCACTCCATGCCTGGCTGGGGAGGGAAACGGAGTGAAAACATGCGAAAAACATGCACTGCATACATGCACACAACAAGCGCACACCATCCATAACTAAACCATCACACCGCGCACGTACCATGCACATGCACGCATAGAACCCACCCATGCACTTACCCGTCCACCATGCCTGGGGGGGTGGGTTGACGGGCACAGCACAAGGAATTGTACAAATAAGGTGCTGATGGGTAGATGATACACGGAAAGGAGTGGGAAGGTAAGGGCTGCTCCACGTGCTTTGGAAAAAGGTGAGCTCGAAGATGGTGAAGGTAGAGGCCAAGGAGATAAGGGGGTGTAGAAGGGAGGGAGTGGTAGAAGGGATACATGATGGAGGGAGGGGTATGAAGAATGGAGGGAAGTTGGAGGGGCGGGGGGGAGACTGACACACAGTACTCACACACCTGCAGCGGGGAGGAGAGAGGGTGTTTCGAGACGTTGCACAACAAGCTTCCGCAGAACCATTTGGTCTGCTGGCATGCGGTCCTCCCACACCTGCTGCACACCGAGGGGATGGGGGGCACACATGGGAAAGGTCGGGTTGGTACGGAGGGGAAGGTGTGGGATGTGATGGGATGGTACAGAGGAGAATGGGTGGGGATGGTAGAGAGGGGAAAGTGCAGGGATGTTTTGAGACGTTTGAAAACCGGCTTGGACAGCACCGTGCGGTATGCACGCACACGTCACGTCCTCGCACACAGGGAACAACCGGAGGGGGGTAGGGGGGACAGGGGGGGGGAGGGGAGGTGGGGAGTGGGAGGGGGGAAAAGGGCGGGGATGGCGCGGAGAAGAACAGGCGGGGAGGCTAAGGGTGGGGGATGTGGCACAGTGTTTGCACACTGAGTGCTCAATGTCGCACGGGTGGTGCGGGGTGGAGAGGTGTCATGCCCAATTCCCGCCTCCACTTATCTCTCCTTGTTGCGCAAACCTAAAACTTCTCCCCCCCCTCTACCCCTCTCCCAACCCTCTCCCTGCCCCCACATCTCCCCTCCCCTGCAGCGCACCTCTCTCCGCCCCCCTCTCGCACGTCTTGAAAGGCGTCTGCATCATCATGACGTTTAGATCTGACGTCGATCATCGCGAGCACCAGCCAGATCTGCAATGATGTTTCCCTCCTTCTCCCCTCCCACCTTTCCCCACCCTCCCCTCAACTCTCTCCGCGTTGCCTCCCTCTCACCCCTGGCCAGGGGCACTTCGAGGAATGCATCCCCCTGATCTTGTCAAGAAAGCACCCGCTTTCGTTCTCCATGCCCCTCCCCCCCCCCCCCCCACTCCCCCCCCTTCCAACCCCCCCACTCCCCACTCCCCTCTCCCAGTACTCTCCCAGCCGTCTCCCCGCGCCCACATCTCCCCTCCCCCGAGCCCACTTCTCCCACCTCGCCCGCACCTCAAGGAAGGAGTCAGCGATCTCTTCGCGGGGGCAACTGCTCTCATTCTCCATTCCCATCTGCCACCGCCGCTCCCCCTCGCGCGGCTTTGATCATCAACACCAGCCGGGTCTGCATGCACCGTTACGCGCGCTCACAGCCGGAGAAGTGGGGACGAGCACTGCCCACAGGACCCCACTGCCTCCTCGCGGGCTGGTTCCTCCTAGCAGCAGCACGGACAGGGTGGGCGGTGGAGACGTGGAGAGAGGGGGGGTGGGGTAAGGGAGAGGTGTGGTGGAGCGGTGTGGGCGAGAGGAGTGGGGAACAGGCGTTGGAGAGAGGCATGGGGGAAGGGTGTGGGTGAAAGGGGTGGCAAAGATCAGAGGAGAGAATTCCTACATCCTGCTTCTTAGACCTCACGTTCCTGAACCCATGCCATCTTGTTCCCCCCATCGCCTCTTAACCCTTCCGTGTCCCTCGTATCTCCTTACTCCCTCCCCCCCTCGCTCGCCTATAGGCGCGGCCACTCGCGCATGTCATGCGCCATCACCTTTTATCCCCCCGTCACCCCAAATCCCCACTTCCCCTCCTTCGCGGCGGCCCATCGTTCACCCGTAGACGCGGCCCACGCATTTCCAGCGCCAGGGCAGATGGGGCAAATGGGGATTAGGGGCGAGGGAAGTGCTTAGAGCCTCGGATTGCTGCCCTCCGGCGCAAGAGGAGTGTCAGAGGACCTTTAAGGCGCTCAAATGCTGACTAGAGGACGTTTGAGGCGTTCCAAACGCTGACCAGAGGATGTGGCGCCTCAAACGCTGACCCGAGGACGTAACAGAACGCCGTGCGCGTCACTGACGGGGATTTTTTTGCGAAGGATGGGTCGCATCGCAATGCCTGAAGGATTGCCTTTTAGCTTTTCTTAAATTCTTCGAGGCTCAGATTTTCGCAGCACACGACCAAACAAGACGAGCAACCCACTGGGCTTCCCAGTGCCTACATCGCATTTCACTTAACGCCTAGGTTCAGCCGCACCGACAGCGGGATCGGCCTACGGCAGCAAGTTGCGTCACTTGCGCGGCGTCGCTGGCAGTGGAAGCAATTGAAGCGATTGACGGCAGCATCACCAGCCGAAGAAACAATAGCAGCTGCACGCCGTCTCGGCGCGAGGCGGGAGTTCGCAGCAGCATTTGCAGCAGCAGCGGCGGGAGCTGCGCGCCGAGCGTGGGGGAGAGCGACGATACGGTCGGACAGACTCGAGACTGGCAACGCCGCAACATAGCAGCGGCTGGTGACATGGGCACGAGGACGACTCGTTGCTGTGGCTGATAGTAGGCTAGCAGGTACTGTGGCTTTTGTGGCTTACTAACTAATGGCTGCAATTAAAGCGAGTGCACCTGGAAGATTGGGTTTATGGAGACGACGATGACGACGACGAATCCGTCAATGCGGCGACGCTGTGAACGGAAAAACCGGTACGCTTCCATGCTTTTATAGGAACCGCCATCGATGAATTTGGTACTACTATGCCTGAGCAGTGGACTCGTGAAAGTGAGCTAGCCAAATAGCGCTAGAAAATTAGGGTTGGATTGGAAGCTGTGATGACAATCGAACAGCGAACGTGATTCAGAAGCCTCGTTCTCTACAACGAATCGAGCCTAGCCTTTCTACACGAACACATCCTAGCCAGGCGAAATGCTCGGGTGACGAGGTTGGGGAAAGGCGGAACCTACCGAAGGCTTCGGAGGCGGTACGAGTCACCTTTGGCTTTGTCAACTCGACCGAGCCTCATCTCCGTCTTGTTCGGGGCTTCGTACAACAGACGCCCTGGAATAAGAACTGGAAACCGTATTCGAATGGAAATCAACCGGACCTCCTGAACGGTCTCCCTCTTCTACTGTACCTCGGAAATCAGGTGTTCACCAATTTACCCAGTCGAGCATGGGAAAGCTCGAGCAGCCGTGCCAGAATTTGACGGGGTCAAGTTTCGGATGTCCGGTTTTTTCTGAGATTCTCCCGAGGAGAAAATATTCGCGCACTTCTGCACGGAGGGTCGCCTGTCGAGGAGATGTCGCTCCTCTGCAGAAAAAATTCTGCAGACACGCCCTTCTCTTCGGCAGGGTCCTCGACGGCTGGGCCCAACTTTCGCTTCGGCGAAGGTGCTCTCCGCTGTAGAGAACATGAGCCTCTGCAAGATCATTGCATTTTCAACACCCTTCTCTCCCTTCTGCTCCCTTCTCTCCCTTCTGCTCCCTTCTCTCCCTTCTGCTCTTGTTCGCTCTGCCATTGCCCCACCCCACTCGCCTGCTGCACCCAGCCTACCAGCTACAGGTCCTGCCCCTACCTGACCCAGCCACACGCCCCCCCTTGCGGCCCCTTTGTCCAACAGGCTGTGCCTTTCTCTGACCGCTCATAGGCCCCTTGCGCTGCGCATATGGTGGTAGACGCCCGCCCATGCTGGCACTCACACATGATGCCAGGGCGGCTGGCTGGTTTGTGCGCCATCCCAATGGCCGGGCAGCTGGCCTGTGCGCCGCCCTACAGCCCCACGTCGGTGATCTGCGCGTACAGCAACGCGTGCTGGCCACCGGATCCCATTGCCTCCTCGGAGGCTGGCTCCTTCTGACAGGGGCAGGGTGGGGTGGGGGGAGGGGGCGGGAGCAGAGTGGGGGAGAGGCATGTGGGAGAGGCGGGGGAGGAGGCGTGGGGGGAAGGCGTGGGGGAGAAGTGGTTGGGGAGGGGGTTGGGCGAGAGGTTCGGGGCAGGGTGCAAAAAAACGACGTTTTTTTCAAAATTTGATCGTAAAATACCGTATCGTAAGAAACGATCGTAAAATACAATAAATTTCGATTTTTAGAAATTAAATGATTTGGGTGGAAAAAAACCATCGCTTTTTTTAGAAAAGGGTACAAAACTGCTGCTGTAACAGGGGGATTGTTTTGTGAGTAGAATGAGGGGGCTGTTAGAAGTATTGCTGATGCACTGCTGTAACAATCGAAAAATACAATCGTATTTTTCGACAATCGTTTTTTTCCACCTTGGTTCGGGGGAGAGGGTTCGGGAAAAGGGTTGGGGAAGAAGGGGGGGAAAGAGGCGTGTGGGGGGGGTTGGGGAGGAAGAGGTGCAGTGAAGCAGGGTGGGAGAGAGGGATGGGCGAAAGCGTTCGGGGAAAGGGTCGGGGGGGAGGGGGGGGGGGGGGGGGGGGGGGGGCAGGGTTGGGGGAGAGAGGTGCAGAGAAAAAGGGCCGTTGTGGCTTTTGAAAATAACCAATCTATGGTTTTATACCTCACCCTTCCTGTCCGAGCCTTTGCCGTTCACAGCTCACATCTCCCTCTAACCCCCCCATCTCCTCTTAAGCCTTCCATATCCTCCTTATCCCATCCTACCCCTCCCCCCTCACCCATAGGCCCAGCCACTCGAGCATGCACTGCGCAATCACCTCTTCCAACGCCATTACCCCTCACCCACCTACGCAATCCTCCCACCAGCGCTGAAAGCAACGACGAGAAGGTAATGCTGATCGCCATTTGACAGACGGCTAAGGCCGTCTGGTCTGGTCGGCAGCAAAGACGAGGACATGGCTGCGCTACGTGGACGCACTGCATGCGCGTGCGGTGCATGGTTGCCGCCCTGCCATCCGGTCCAGCAGGCTATCGTAGCCTGTGAGCGGATGGCAGGTTGCATGAGGGAGGGGGAGGGAGTGGGGAGAATTGAGGAGGGGGTAGCCAGGTGGATTGGAGGGGAAAAAAGGGGAAAGGGGAATAGAGGAGGGGGAGAATGAGAGAAGGGAATTTTGATGTTATTAGATGTCTCGAAAGGTACATACATATTGATGGAAAACTTGATCGCGCACAACAAGCACAGAATAAGGATCCTAAGCAAAAGCTGGGGAAGAGCGGGGGCGAACAGGCATGGGGAGAGGAGCAGGGAGGGAAAACACAACCCTCCGACCAACATTGAAGGCGGCGGTTATGACACCAGAAGTCTCAAAAGGGCAAGTTGACGGTGTTGATTGTCATTTGGCGCCATTCGACGAGCTGCGACGAATCAAGGCATTTCCTTGGGGATACCAAGGAATTGGCAAGGGTCTGCGGAAGGAGGGTGGGAGAAAAGCTGATCTGCCGTTTCTTTCTCGCGACGGTGGCGGCGGCGTCACACATTGCGGATTGTGCGATGGTGAGGAGGAGAAGAAGGACGAGGAGGGGGAGGAGGTGCGAGAGTGATGCCCCCTTACGCGGATGATAGACCAAGTTCTAACACCCCATAACGAGTAGAGTATAGATCATGAGCATCCTACGTTACTGCCATCTCGCCGTATTTTTCAGTCAACTCAAAATTCGCACGATGGAACTCCGAACCGTCCATTCTACCTTATCGCTAGACCGCTTGACAGTTCTAGGTCGCGATAAGGTCGAGCGGCTATTGCTATGTCGTTAGGAGACGCCAGCTCCCCAGCGGACTGGTCGCACGTTCAAATTTACTAGTTGCTCTCCGTATGCTGGGAGTATTGTCTATCTTTTCTGTACTTGTCATTAGGGTTTTGTTCCGTTATTGCGATAGCGAATGAAGAGGTCGTTGTTCGTCAAACAGGGTCAGCCGCTGTCCTGATTCGTCTGAATCGCAGACCTGGCAAGCGTTTTGGTAGATCGACACACCCTGCTGGCATGCCACGCCACCGTCGAAACTCGTGTCACCTCGGTATTCGTGAGAGCAGGGTAACTTTACATTCGCATCTGTCCAGATCCACATTTCACGGCTGAATGGGAGGGAGGTCACAAGCAACTCGCGAATGCAACATCTGTCAGCGATATTGACCTCACACAGCCATAAAGAATATTGCAACGCAGATCTTGGCACGAAAATGGGACTTCACCTTCCACCCTCACCTACCTCCTGCCACTTTCTTCCTCAAGTTTCATTTCCTACTAGCTTCCGATTTCCTCCTTAGATTCCTATTTGACCTTGTCTGCACTCCCGCTATAGTAGTTTCTTGGTTTAACCTTCTACAAGTATTCACGCGTTTCTATTGACGCTCAGAGTCCACTAGTTGCGCACAGTTCACAAGCGCGTTACTACTCAACGCACCACGATCATGGCAACGGACGACAAGAGACGCATCATTCAGCTCGGCTTACTCGTTTCTCTGACGTGTCTCGCCGTGGTTTCTCCAGTACGCTGTGTCCCGTTCGCCTTCTCCCAAGGTTCGTCCTTGTAGAACAAACTTCATCCCAAAATTCGGAGGCCCATATACTATGTTTGAACGTACATGTGTCTACATACTTTGTTTGAACATAGTACGAGGCCTGAACGTTTGACGTTACGGCTGAGGTTCGGACCCCCACCTCCGATCTTTATGTATTTTGTTGCCATGATAAATTTTATATCTTATGGAGTCTTGGTGACGGTAGGATTCAGTACAGCAAGGGTCCAATGGAGGCTTCCACACTGATGGCACCACCATGACCCGGGACGCGTTCGGCTTGGCTGCCAATGGCGCCACTGTGATCGACGCAGTTTCCCGAGTCTGCCGCTGTGTCTTTTGGTAAAGCTCATGTGGCGCTCCAGTACCGGCGAAGCGTGATGCACAATGTAGGGTTCAGCAGTGGCGACAGATCATCAAAGCCGTGTGGCGCTCATACATATCCATGATTCCCTTCCCAACGCATCATCCTTAGCAGATTGACCGGCCGACTTCATTGCAGCAGAATGCATATCGATTCGCAACATATCAATCTACCCTATATTCTCTCACCCACATGTGGAAAGCAATTCAATATTGCTTGCCCATCACACCTGTCTGCTCTAACGGTGTTCACCAAATTTTGGTGCAGGGTTTGAAAAAGGAAGGGATTTATATCTTCTTCTCTCTTACCCCCTCAGAAGCAGGGTGTTCCTCCCTCTCTTCTTGACCTTTTTTTATCTTACTCCATTGCAGCCCCTCTCGTCCCTGCTTGTGCAGCCATTGCAACTCCTGCTGGCTGGAATTCCGGCAGGCATAGGGGAAAATGATCATTTGTGGGTGGCTTGCTGCCATGGGTGGATGCAGCAATGGCAAGAGCTGCAGCTCGAGTGCCTAGGATCTTCACCATGAGTCATAGCAGTCGTACTTAAATCACTTACTCAAGTGCCTAATGGAGCTCAGGAAATGCACATCCCCAGCCATACATACCCCTTATTTGACCCCCTCTCCCGTTTATGCCTCCTATCTTCAATGGCACTATCATTACCAGTGGATGTATCAGAGACCACGTCATGCCCATGGTCCCATTTGCATGATGCTTTTCACTCAGCAGTTTCAATTTCCGTGTCACGGTTTCTTGGTACTTCACCACCGCAGGTGTCCATTCCGTGGTCAGCTGCACAGGCTGATGAGTGAGAGAGGAGGAGAAGGGTGCGACACACGGGTGATGACATACATTTTTCCTTCCTCTGTCCCCTGCCCCACACCCTCCTTCTGTCCTTCTCTTCCCTACCTACACCCCTCTCCCCCACCATCTGCCGCCAGAGCAAGTCCTGTCGGACTTGCAGCAAGCATGGGGGCGGAATTTCTCGGGGTGGGTGGCTGGGGGGGACTGCAGCTTGGCCGAGAATGTGTTTTGCGATGACCAAGGCATGGTGACTGAAATGTGAGAGCACCAACTCTAGCTGGTCTTGCATCCCCCATGTGTGCACCAACTATTGCTAGACTTGACTTGAGTGCCTCTACATCTTCTCTCCCTCCACCATTCTGCGTGCTCTGCGTTTGCAATCCCTTGTTGCATTTTGGAGAGCTAACTCTTGCTGGCCATGCATTCTGCGTGTTTCTTTGTAATTCTCTTGCATTCCCTTTCTTCTTTAACCGCTCTTGCCATTGTCCCTCCCTCTTCCAAGCTGACTGTCTGCTTTTATGATCCCATTAGTTCTTGAAGGCATGTTAGGATGGTACCATGTTAACTCATCAGGATTAAGGAATTAAGGATCATCGGGCGAGTGAACATGTTCGATGTTGCATCTGGAATAATTTTCCACGCTGGATCAGTTCTACGTTTAAATCACTTTAAAGATGGGGTCATACGAGGAAGAGAGCAGGACAAGCACAGCTTCAGTTGGCATGTCAAGTGGTATGGCAACAGGTGCAGCTGCAGGTACTTGCGTTCGCTGATTGAGCCCTTGCGGACCATGGATTCGCTGGATGGCCTTTGTGTGTATCTTTGTTCTTCCCTTGCACTCCCTTGCTACTTGAACCGTTCATCCCACGGTCCTCCTCTCATCCAAACCCACTGTCTGCTTTCGTGGACCCTTTGGAACCATTCCATGTTAAAGTCATGTTCAAAGTATTGTTAAGGTTAGAACTTATCTTTAAACATGATTGAGGAACATCTTCCATGTTTTATCGAAGGTGAATCAGGGGTTTTATAGAGGGGCAGAGAGAGCAGGACAGGCACAGTTCTAGTAGTTCTATCATGCCCAAGTCAGAAAATTAGTTGGCATGCCAAAGGGAATGGCAACTGTTGTAGATGCAGCTGGTCTATGCACAATGTCAACAAAGAAGTAGAGAAAATGGGTGAGTGGAAGGAGGGAGGTTGTGGTGGTGCATATGAGAGGTGTGGAAAGGTTCGCAATGAGTGTGTTGGGGGTCTGCT